TTATTCTGCATGTAATTTGTCTCATATATAATAACCCACTTAACCTACATATTATAGGAATTCTAATAAAGTAAGTGAGAATATTCATGTCAAGATTCTGCATTGTTACATAACTGCTGAGTATGGTTATTTCCTTGGGTCAGCTGATTCAATGATAACTGTTTCTGAGTCAGTAAGCTAACAAACTCACATGAAGTAGAGTTCTTCAACTGTCAATGCATTTGCTAAGACATACACATAGTAAAAGTACTCAAATTCAAATAGTGGAAAATGTATACAGAAGAAAATACTATTCTTCTGTCACTATTTCCCTCTCTAGAGATAATCCTGATTTGCAGTTTCTTCTTCATTTTCCCAGAGAATTCTATACATCTACAAACAAGCATTATACCCTTTCTTTAAAATATAGCACTCTCTTGGGCTGGGAAGGTGGCTCAATGGTAGAGTGCTTGCCTTGCATGCTCGAGGCCCTGGGTTCAATTCCTCAGTACCACATAAGCAAAAAGAAAAAAGCCAGAAGTGGGCGCTGTGGCTCAAGTGGTAGAGCGCTAGCCTTGAGCTGAAGAGCTGAGGGACAGCGCCCAGGCCCAGAGTTCAGGCCCCACGACCGGACCCCAAAAAAAAAAAAATACAGCACTCTCTTTGTCTATGGCCATACCACCCTGAATGGGCCCAATCTCGCCTACAGCACTCTTTTCAGTACCTTTTTCATTTACATATATGAGATATCAATATTAGTGTACATAGAGATACATCATGTCTAATGGCTTTATAAAATTTTAATCAACTCATTGTTGATAAGTAGCTCGTTTTTAATCTTTTACTATGAACAGTATTTCAGTGAATGCTCTTTAAAGACCTATAGGATAAATTCCTAGATGTGAAATTGTTGAATCAGAAAGCATGTTTATTTTTATCAGAATTTCCAGATTGCCCACTAAGAGATGACCAGTTATAGTTTCACCAGCAAGAGAACTTTCATCTTCCTTTTTTTTTTGGGGGGGGGGGTTGGGGGGACAGTCTGGTCGTGGGGCCTGAACTCTGGGCCTGGGCGCTGTCCCTCAGCTCTTCAGCTCAAGGCTAGCACTCTACCACTTGAGCCACAGCACCACTTCCAGCTTTTTTCTTTTTTGCTTTTATGGTGCTGAGGAATTAAACCCTGGGCCTCAGGCATGCAAGGCAAGCACTCTACCACTGAGCCAACTTCCCAGCCCCACTTTCATCTTTCCAAAGAGTTATTTAACGCCTCCTTCCAAGTTTCTTCCAGGGTTTGATATGTTGGAAAACAGCATTCAAAGATACTTCATGAGCATGAAATAAGTTACATGGTCTTGAGGGTTTTCAAAAGAGGCCCTGGCTGAAAAGATCTTTGCCAACTATACATCTGACAAAGGCTTAATAGCCAGAATATACAGGGAGCTTGAAAAACTAAACTCCTAAAGAATCAATAACCCAATTAATAAATGGGCAGAGAAGCTAAACAGACACTTTTCAAAAGCAAAAGCACAAATGGCCAATAAATATGGGAAGAAATGTTCAGCATCACTGTCTATAAAGGAAATACAAATCAAAACAACATTGAGATTCTAAAGACTGTATGTATGTATATATACACATGCATGTATGTATATATACATGCACATATACATGTGTGTATGTATGTATACATACATACATACAGTGGTATTTTATCCATCAGGAAAAATAAACTGTCATTTATAAAGAAATGGATGTATCTGGAAAAAAATCATATTGAGTGAAGTAAACCAAGCCAGAAAGACAAAGGGCATATGTCTTCTCTCGTATGTGGTTGCTAAACCTAAAATATAAAGATATACGTAAACACATATGGGACCATATGTGTGTGTATGATCAAACTGACTAAAATATGGTACACAGGAGAGCTATTCCATGGTGTAACTCCTTTAAATAGACAATTAACAGTTTGACAGAATGAGTATCAGGAACCAATAACATATTTTGACTGGGGGAGGGACAAAAAGGAGGGAAACAGACAAATAGAGGAATGATGGGAGAATACAGTACAGTTGTAATCCTCAATGCACATATGTCAAAATGGAAGAAGAAACTTGCAATGGGATAGAAATGATGGAAGGGTTAACACTGATCAAGATGACTGTACACATAAACTGAACACGTTAACTTGGAAACCCCCTTGTACAACTATTTACAGATAATTTTTACAAAAACAAAACCACCTGGGTTCACCAGAGATACTCTTCCCAGTCATCCTAACTATCTCATTTTGTATCAAGCTTAAGAAAAATCAAATCTTTGTTCAAGACCCTTTGCCAGTAGTCCCCATTCAATATATACTCATCATCCTATTTGTATTATTTTGCCTCATACAGTTCCAGTACATATACATTACGATTATATTTTAGTCACCTCATTTTAAGTTGTCTCATTATAATTGTATGATGTAAAGCTGCTTCAGAAATAAATACATAGGAAGTGTTATCTCTAATCATGTTCCTAAAAACAGCTAATTATATTGTAGTTTGTAAAATTGTACTCAAAAATAATACTTGCTGGTTCCTATGAGCTTGAATTTTCTTCTCATTTATTTAAATACTTTTCATGTTTAACACTTCTCAATTCATCTGTGTTTATGTCAATAGTCCTCTCTGTCCTGACAATCACTGACTAATCAATAATATATTTTAAAGTGTTTGGAAATAGACTACTCTCTAAAAACGGTCAGTGATATTCAATCCCTACATTTCCTGATATACCACTTATGAGTCATGAGGAAGTAGAATATGTCCATTGATTTGTGCATTCCAGGTCTAGTCAAGACAAATGAGGTGTGTGAGGTGTTAGGCTATACTTTGTTTGATGTCATGTTTGCCATGGTATTTACTAAACCTCCTATGCTTCCCCTGTAATTCTGTGAATACTTTAGTCACTGTTACACAAGCAGTATGTTCTTTATTCTCTGTCACTCTTTTGTTCTATATTTTCTATCTATGATTACTCAAGGAAATTAAGGGACGTCAAAGTAATTACCAGTGATTTACATTACTAGAATATACTAAACGCTTGATAATCCTGGAAGGCCAGAGTAATTGTTGAGGGAAGCAGCAGTGAGATTAGAGACATTCTATTAGGAATCAGAAGGACTATTTTTTTTCTATCCCTTTGATAATGTCAGGGACTGTTAATGATCATAATCAGTTACGGTAAATTCTGGTGAAGTTCTATGAATAATACATAAGAGATTTAGTGTAACTCCCTGACTTTCTGCAGTTCCTGATCAGAAAAATTCTGCATATTTTTATTATAATTACTTTCCTTAGAATAAATAAATTCTACTCATCAGTGAATATGATATATTTATTAGGATATAGGCACATATTCTAGGTTTCTAAATAGGTGATTATTCCCCCACTTTCTTTTCACCTTCAAATTAAAATTAGTGAAAATTTGTTGGCAGACAGTAATAATGATAAAATTACTTCGGATAGGGATAATTTACCTAAACGTGTTTAGTGAATGACATGCTTTTTTGTTGTGCCAGTCCTGGGGCTTGACCTCAGGGCCTTGGCAGTGTCCCTGAGCTTTTGTGCTCAAGGCTAGTACTGTACCACTTGAACTACATCTCACCTGGCTTTGTGGTAATTAATTGGAGATAAAAATCTCACAGACTTTCCTGCCCAGACTGGTTTTGAATCACAGTCCTCAGATATTCCCCTGAGTAGCTAGGATTACAGTCATAAACCACTAGCTTATTATATGTGTTTGGTGTTTCTTTTTTTAAAAAAAAATTCACTACAGAATAGTATTAATAGGCTTTTAATGTGCTAATCTAGGACCAGCTTTGTGTTTTGTTTTTTTTGTTTGTTTTTGTTTTGGGGTTTTTTTTCATGGTTTTTATTGTGAAAATACTGCACAGAAGGGTTACAGTTATATGAGCAAGGTAAAGAGTACCTTTCCTATCAAGCATTGTTGCCTCCTCCTTTGTTTTACCCCTACCATCCCTTCCTTCCCACCTCCACAACTACACTCCCCCCTTCTCACAACCCCAATCCTGGGCCTAAATTGTAAAGTTCGTTTTTCAACGTAGTGTGCATCTCATTGTTACAATGGGTCAACCTGTGTTTTGTTTTGTCTTGCTTTTGAAGACAAGATCTCTCCATGTATATCTCTAGGCTAGCCTAGAAACTCCCTCAGTTCCTGCTTGTAGGCATGTACTACCATACTCAGCCTATGATCCTAGCTTCTCAGGAGGCTGATATCTGAGGATCATGATTCAAAGCCAGCCTGGGCAAGAAAGTCTGAGAGACTCTCCAACTAACTACCAGAAAACAGGAAGTGGAGCTGTGGCTCAAAGTGGTAAAGCACTAGCCTTGAGCACAAAAGCTCAGAGACAGTGCCCAGTTCAAAAAAAAAAGAAAGAAAGAAAAGAAAAGAAAGGACCTACAAAAGAAAAGAAAGAAAAAGAAACTGTTGACATAAAACTCATTCTAAAATTCAGAGCTAATTCTAAATATTTTTAAAAATATACTAGTAAATGTCTGTTTGAACTTGAAAACTGTTATGAATCAGTCTCTTTCTATATATAATTTTCCATGGCATTTATCCTTAGATTTGAAGTTCTATTAAAATTTAAAAAGGAATCAAGATTTTTTTGAATTAAGTTCCTGTATTTTATTTTTCTACCTATTTATTATAAGCGTAACCAAGGGGAAAGTCTCTTTAATTATACTGATAAGTTGATTTTGTGCCTTGAAACAATCTGCTAGAACGGAAAAGGGAATAAACTGGTAATCCTTCAGCAACAAAACCTTTTCTTACTTATTGCAGAAAAATCTGAGCAAATACCTAACAGATGTATGATGCTTTGTCAAGCTTTATCATTCCCACTGAAAAGATGAGAATCCAGAGTTGATACTTAGGAAAGAGAACACCCAGAAGACCTATCTCCTATGACTCATGGTTGCTACTGTACAACTAAAACATTCATGTTTTTCTTTCAGTGACATTGTATGCCTCCTGCATTCTCCTGGGAGTGTTCTTGAATAGCAGTGTACCTATATTTTTTGAGCTCTTTGTGGAAACTGTCTACCCAGTTCCAGAAGGAATTACCTGTGGAGTTGTTACTTTTTTAAGTAATATGTTCATGGGAGTGCTTTTATTTTTTCTCACATTTTATCATACAGGTAAGAAGTTTTGTTTACTTTGGTATATATTATGAGAGAAGTTTGTGGCACTGATATATAGACAATTTAGTTGGAGAATTCTCACTCCAGCAAATTACTTTATTTAGCATTTAGATGCCAATAAAGACAGTATCCACTGTTGTTTTTCTTGAAATGTATTCTAGCCCCATGCATCCTCACCCTCAGAGTTTCTTACTTGTCCTGGGTTGAAATGCATTATTTGTGGTTTGTAGTCTCTCCCTAACCCACCACCTGGCCAAGTGATTCTAATTTTCATTTTTCCCCTGAACACCACTGGTGTATTATTTTTTTAATATACTGTATTGTCTTAGCACAGAGTGTAAATTAATTCCAGGGTATAGCTGTAGTTTAAAGCCTTAGGGATGAGTAAGAGAAGGTCATACCATGTAAGAAGAGCTCTAAAACGTGATACTCCAGTAGGCCACATTGTTTATAGGGAACTTTCTGACAGGTTTATAATTGAAATGATAACCATGTTAACCTCCTTGACTGGGAAAATAAAATTTTAAAACATTCAAAGCAATGAAATAGAATCATCCCTGGATGTTGAACAACTAGAGACAGAGCACTGTCTCCTAACCACAGAAAGTGTTCCAATGATAGGTAAAATTCTTCATGTAATTTACAGCAAACCAGAGTGTCTCTGTCCATTAGAATGCAGGTAAAGTAGACGCTAAGTCTGCTAAACCTGATGGGACTTTGGTTCTCCTGAAGAGTGACCCTTATGTAGTCAGAAGTCCACTCTACTCTTCTGTGGAAGCAAATTTCCAGTAAGGAAATATTTGTCCTTCGATTCAGTTTTCTAAACAGAATCTTATGACTGTTCCATGTCAACCTCGAATCCACTTCAGTGTGTCATAGTGGAAATTAAAAGGGTGTGTATTTTTGCTTCATAAAACATCAGAGATGGCTGTGATTCCCCTAGCATGATAGAGTTTTCTAGCTTATGGGCACAGGTTTGCTAAGTGGTCTGTGTGGCCTGGCAAAATGAGTTTCTTTTCCTAGGGCTGATACAAGAAACAGTTTTGTTCTCATGGTATTTAAAAATAATAGTAGATGTCAAATAATGTTACCCTCTAATAAATCTCTCACTGCGATCTCTAGCATATAACAGACATATTCTTACTGAACAGCTTAAGGTAGTAGATATTTTTATTTTCTTTGGTAATGGCAGCAGAAATGACACCATTTCTTCTAATTCCTACCCTACTGGTATAATCAAGGATTTATTTGAATAGAAGAAGAAAGTTTTGCTCTTGGTTTCTGATCACATGTTCCTGTACAAATCTCTGTAGTATTAGCTTTCTTCCTAAACTCTGAAACTACTGTGACTAAATGAAACCTGAAATAATCATTGATTTTAACTCATTAAGATGGTTTTCAGGGGAAAAGAAGTCTCAGTGACTTTTAGCACCTTAGATCATTGATGTAAAGATAGCGTGTGAAAGAGTGTAATTCCAAGGCACCACTAGCACACAGTAGAAGGGCACGTCTTCCAAACATCTAGCTGACTGGCATTAGGAACTGAAGTGCCTACACCTCTGTTTTAAAGAAATGCTTTTCTGTGTGTATTTGTGAGAATATGAATATACACACAAACACACCCTCCATCTTTCTAAGGCTAAGGTTACCAGGAATATGACATTTGTGTTGAAATTATTTTTCACATAGGATTTAATGATCCTGCCCTTAAAATCTACATTCTCTATGAATTGAGTTGTGACTCACAAATTTCAAACCTGAAAACTTGGTGAGACTACATCCTGAAAATACCCTACACAATTTGTATAATAAATTCTCTTCTGTTAATATAGTGTTCACGTTATAATTCAGTAATACAAAATTTTGAAGAACTCACCATGATTAGAAGTCTAGATTTATTTAAAAGAAGATCTAGGTTTCTTGTTTTGCTTTATTTTGTTTTGCTTTGCTTATATTAGTACTGACTCTTGAACTCACATCCTCGCTCTCTTACTTGGCTTCTTACATCCACAACTCCACCATTTGAGCCATAGCTCCAGTTCCCGTTTTGCTTTTTAAGAGACAGGGTCTTTCTCTGTTGTCAAAGCTGGTCTCAAACTTGTGGCTCATATGATTTTCCTGCTCAGCCTCCAAAGTACCTAGAATTATAGACACACCACTGCCCCCAAGAAGAAACCCTGATTTGTAATCACCATGAAGATCAGTGGCATTTTAGGAATCTTTCAAGCTGGTACTCAGCTTCCCAGTCACAGTGTAGAATGTGGTAGGTAACTCCATCTGATCAAGACAATAGAGCCATCTCCAAAATGACCACATTAGAATGTCTTGTCTAGCAAGATTGGTTCCAGTGACAGTTTTCTTGGACATTGGGACCATTGTTATTATTACTAGTCAGGCTTATTTGGAGCTTTGGGTCATAGAGTTGTTTCTATTCTGCTTTGGGCACTTGAAACCAAGTCAGAAGTTTCTTAGCATGTTTTCTGACTTGGATTTTTCAAGGTCACTTTGAACACAGGAGAAGTTATTGTTACATAATATAATCATATTTGTAAAAAGGAATTACTCTCTTTAGTGTTTGCTTTGAGGATCTCTGTGAGTTGAGACAGCACCATCATTGGGAATGGTGTTAGATACTTGGTGTGCTCCAAAATGTATTCTGTTGTATATTCTGAAGTTGGTATTATTTGAGTTTTTTGCTCATAAACTTTTGCTGCAGGATTTATCCATAAAGGTTTTGATTTGACTGACCATGAATTTGGTCTTCCTGAGGTGGGCATTACTTATTAATGGTTACCAGGAGATCTAGGGCAGGTTCAGAAGATGTAGACTCGTGAAAGTAATTTTATATCTAAAAAGTAAATGTGATATGATAGTAAGATCTTCTGGGTAATTAATGTAGAATGAAGGGTACATAGCATTGAACTGTGCTGCTCACCCGGAAGGAGAATGGGGAGGATTTTATTAGATCACTATAAAGGAAAGTAAAGGTTTGGTTCTGTAGGGTGGGAGTTAGAAACAGACTAGTGCCTATATGTGGGTGATCAAACCATTAGCATGGTGGCTCACACCTGTAATCCTATTTACTAAGGAGACTGAGGATTGCAGTTCAAAGCCAGGCTGGACAGGAAAGTCTGTGAGGCTACCAAAAAGGTGAAGTGGAGCTGTGGCTCAAATGGTAGAGTGCCTTGAACAAAAGGAATTCAGGGACAGAGCCGAGACCCTGAGTTCAAGCCCCAGGTCCAGCACAAAAAAAAAAAGCATGGTGTGATTTAAGGGTAAAACAAGATGAAAAGTCTACCAGTGCTTCTGGTTAGAAAAGGAACAGGTAAAAAGATAAGCAACATCACAGTTAGCTCAGAGATACCTAAGAGAGCAACACTACCAGGTACTGAAGAAATGCAGCACCTTGTTACTACAAACTGGCAGAGAAGACTTGACTACAGACCTATAGGCTGCAGAGAAGCAGCTGCAGTGTGGGACAAATTGTGTTAGTCCTACCTTCAAGTACAGATTTATGTTTCTTCCAGTGAGAGGCAAAAGGAAAGGAATGCTCAGTAGCTGCCCAGTCTAAAAAACGAAATACAAACTGGATCAGGATTGTTAGTTTGTTATGTCATGTAACAGAGCTCAGAAAGTCAGTTTGCAACTGACTTTCAACTCAGAAACTCAGGAACTCAGAAAGTGAGTTTGCAATGTCTAATTCAAAGTAATGTTTAAGCAAGCCATTTCCTGCTTATTAAAGCACCTAAGCTGTGATTTCTGTGAATATGAATTGCTATTTTCCTGTCTCGACCCTTTGCTTTCTGAAAAGGCAAGTCATTTCAAAGAACACTGGCAGTTGGTTGAGCCAAGTAGATTTTGGCTTTTCAGAGAAATGACAGCAAAAAACAATCAGCAAACTATGACACCACAGAACAATTATAAGGCATTTTAGAGATGTCATCTGAACCCAGGTGGAAAGAATAAGTTAACAACTCAGATGAAATGATCCGTCTGCTTTGGCAATATTTGACAAATTCCTCAGCAAAGACAAGTTGATGGCAGCATGTATGTTCTCTAGCTCCTCATAAATTAAAATTGCTAAGATTTAGAAAAACATCATTGTTGCAGACCACGTCTTCAGATATCATACTTTATCCCACTGCTTAAAAAGTAGCCTTAAAGCCAGAGTGATTCTTTTTAGTACAAATAGTATGCTTTTATCTGTAACTTTGTACTTAAAAAAAACTGTTTGGTCTTGCTTAGTAATATTATCATCAAAAATCCAGGCTGTCTGGTTAATTATAATAGCAGAGAATACCTGGTGTGTCATTTCAGGGAGTATGAGAGTAACAACAAGGCCCGGGTCACTGCTTCCCACAGAATTTATTTATACACAACCTAAGAAAGCAAAGACAATGCCTTTATATACAAGTGCCTTGGAAATATACATCTTTTTTACCCTGCAGAATAATAAGACTTTTTAAATGTAGTAATTGAGAGATGAGGAGGCAGCATTTGTGAGCATATTATAGAAAGGCACTGCAGTGCCTTGCGTACCGGTTGGTTTTCTGATTTCCATTCCTAAGCATAAATTGCTCTTTTAGGCCATATGAATTATGGATTAAACTAAAGCAGCAGTGTAGGAATCTTTAGGATGATTTTTGAAGATTAAGACAGTATTAGCATTTTATAGAAGGACAAAGCGAAAATAAAAGCCTATAGAAGTGTAACCAAGAAAAATGAAATTTGTTTCCCCATCCATTTATTTGTTTTTACTGGCACTGATAAATGAATATGAGACAGGACAGGTTGTCTCGAAACACCAACAACAATCTCTTTGCACCAAGGAGCAATTTACTATACCTTGGGATTGACAGTATGGTTAGGCAAAAGGAAGCTGACGGGGTACAGATGCCCAACACAAGGTTCCTGGAGCCCCAGTCAGCAGCTAGCAACTGGCCCACAAATGCCCTACCAGCGAGTCCTGGATTCGTGAGAGAGCCTTTTCGAAGAAGCAGATTCTCAATATCATTAAATGAGATAACAACAGAATTGCCTATGTTTAGCAGATGTTTATAGGTTTTCCAATCATTGGCATCATATGTAATCATTCATGCTAGTATAAAAACAAACTAAAAAGAAATACACCAAAATACAGGGTTGTCTCTACAAATAGAATTACAATTGATTATTTTAATGTTTCACTTTATTTGTTCATATATTTGCTAATATGATTTTGTAGTGGTTACTTCTTGACATTTTTGCTTGGAAATGAATAGTTAAAAGGACAGTAAGAAAGTGATATATGGATATTCTGGTGGTTTCCTCTTTGTATTTCTAATCTGGCAGACATTTCTAAACAGGGATGAGAGTGATAGTGATAGAGGACATTTAAAACACAATTAACAAACCAACACTTTAGGGTGATCATTTTTTTTCCTTTGACATGACATAGTAGATGGATTGTGCAGCCAATGTCAACATGAATTAAATTGACAAAAAGTTATTTATGACAGTGGTTGAAAGCATTCCTCAGGAAAGCCCTATAATGATCTCACTGCTTAGTGAGAGGCAGTTTCCAAGCCTTCTGGGCTCATTCTTTTGCAGTGCTTGGGAATGCAGAGCAGCCTCTACCCTGTGTACAGGTGGTATTCTGCTGGTGCTATGTGAATGCTTAAACTGCATGTTTTTGTCTTACAGAGTTGTCTTGGTTCAACTGGTGCCTTCCGGGGTCGTGTTTGCTCAGTCTCCTCCTCATTCTGTGCTTCAGGGAATCCTATGACAGACTCTATCTTGATGTGGTTGTCTCAGTTTAATAGCACAGACTTGAAGGAGTTTAAAAGGAGACTGGAAATCAATACTGCACACTGCACATTTGCTCGGAATTGCACAGCTAACAGGAAAAAAAAAAAGAAGAAAGAACCTTCACTCAGAGGTTTTGTTAGGTTACAGTTGTCACATTAATTTAATTACTGTTAGGTGATAATAATGTGGGACTTGAGGTTATGGGGGATTTTACAACTCTACAAGAGGCATCCCTGTGCCCGACTCTGGGGGAGGTGAAGCACTACCTAACTTGTCCTGTCTTTTCTGTGCCAGTGCTACTACTGAGTAACTATTATTATGAGAAGACATAAAAGGCCTCCATCACAGGAAGGTAACTCCTCCCAAGTCACATGACAGGATAGGAAGTAATGCCACTAACTTCTAAAGAAGTTTGAACCCTGTATCAGATTAATTCCAAAATAGCCAAACAGTATATCGATGATAAAAATTAGCCACATGTACACTACGTGTTTTTCTAATAAAGCCATTTCTTATATGACTCCGTCTTTTGAGCCAGGTGGGAAGCCTTTGGCCATTCTTGTCATGGTGATCAGGTGCTTTCCAGGACGTCAGAGAACAGCCCCAATCTGCGTCCTGACTCACCCTTGCTTCTGAGAATACCCTGTGACCTGCTGGACCTTATTCATGACAGCAGGGATGACTAAATATTTGACTGGTGCACGTGATTACTGTCAGGGAATGTGTAATTCAGCACTTTGTTAAAAGTGAGGTGACCAGCCACACAGAGCAGGTGTCTTCCTGACCTGTAAAGTCCAGTGCCAGCTGTAACCCTCCACAGATAGATTTGATTATTAAATGACCCTGTTTGAAAAACAGTTTCTAACATTCAACCCTTTAAACCTGCTGAGTGATTCCAGCATTGTGCCCTTGTACTTGAATTTAAGTTGTTAAATATTTGCTTCTTTATAAAGTCAGTGTGTTCAATTTTGCCAGTACCTATCTTTCTTTCTCTTTCTTTCTCTCTTTCTTTCTTTCTTTCCTTCCTCCTTTCTTCCTTTCTTTCTTGGTTCTGGGGCTTGAACTTTGGGTCTAGGTGCTATCCCTGAGCTTCTTTTGCTCAAGGCTAGCATTCTAACACTTGAGTCACAACACCACTTCTGGCTTTTTTTTCTTTGTAATTTATTGGAGATAAGAATCTCATGGACTTTCCTGTCCAGGCTGGCTTTGAACCACAATCCTCAGTCAGATCTCAGCCTCCTGAGTAACTGGGATTACAGGCGTGAGCCACCATTGCCTGGCCTTTGTTTTTCTTTTTTTTTTTTTTAAGTTTGCTATGGGACAGCTTTGTAGCTCTGTTTCATTAGGACATAAAATACACTACTCACATTTACATAATACACTTCATTCAGAGAACTAGACCTGCCCTAAAATGAAGAGTAATACTTCCGTATTTTCTGCTTCTTTCAGCCTCCCATATTTTTTTTTACTTGAACTTATATCAGCTAAGTATTCATTCTTTGTCTTTTTCTGATAGAGTGTCTCCAGCTCTGTTAGCCCAGGTGGGAAAGCATGGTTAGAATGAGCCAGTAGCCTGTAGTAGTAAACCGTTACACCCAAACTCAAGGTGGTATTAACTTTCCTCAGTCCTAATGAAGGATTCTAGGACTGTCTACTTTCTTCTAAGGTAGGAAAGTGAAAAAAAAAAGTCCCCAAATTTAACCAATGCTTTTAGTCACCTTTGAATGATCTCCCTTTCTAACCACACTGCTTACCTAGCAGCAAGAACAGAATGAGAGCTGAGAAAGAGCTTAGTGGCAGAACATTGTAACTACAAGGCCGTGGGTTCGATCCCCAGCACCAAAAAAGGAAAGACAAAAAATATGGAATGAAAATTTTACTAAAGGAGAGAAGTCTTTTAAAGCCAAATTTAGTTCCATATAACTCCCATCCTTTGTAAATAAAAGGAAGACCAAGTTCTTGAAGGTGATTGAAAAGCTAGTCACTGCAGATATCAGTAGGCCATGACCCAGACGCTCCCTAACCTTCTGTCTAGTGAGGAGACAAAAAGGACAGGGAAGATGTCTGAATTTATTTTTTTTTGTCACAACTGTTGTGTTTCAGGGTATTGCTGTATAAAATCCTGCTGTGATAAAACTTCTGATATACAACATGTTAATAGTTAAATCTACTTTAAATACAGCCAGAATAGCACTCAAAAATACTATCTAAATAGCTAATTAGTCCAAAGACATCCCTCATTTCTGTATTGCACATTGTATTTTAGTTTTTTTTTTCTAGCAGGCATCAAAATAGAATAGCTCTTATCCTTAAAGTTTGAAAACATTATAGAACCTAAAAGAAATTTGCAATTGGAAGAAATGTTAACCCTCTAGTCATCCAAGTCCTTATTGCAGAATTTTTAGAAACAATCCTAGAAAGGCAAAGTACCTTGCCAACGGACTATATACAGTTGTTTCTGGGTTTCCATAAGGGATTAGTTCCAGAACCTCACTGTAGATAGAAAAATCCTCAGCTGCTCAGGTCCTTCATTTAAGATAGATTAGTACTTGCATTACCGTACTTTAAATCATCTATGGATTACTTACAATAGCCAGTACAATGTAAGTGCTATCTAAGTGGTTGTTGTACTAGGATAAGAAAGAAAATTCTATGTTCAGTATACGTGCAATTTTTTTCCAAGTATTTTTGATGCAGTGGCTTCAATCCATGGGTGTATAACTATGGAAGCAATTGCAGTACCCAAAGTAGGAACAGGAGCCACACTGACTTCTAAACTAATTTTTCCCCTCCTCCACCAAATGCAGCTTAATTTATTAGCTACTTGCTATGTTCATCCATATTCTTCCCATGACCAGAAGGGATGAGGCTTATGAGTAAACGGCCACTATTGAATATTGGAGGTACAGGGATTAAACTAAAGAGATTGTTTGGTTTGTAAGTAAAATTACAAGTAAAATTTATAAGTAAATCATTATCCTGTAGATGGCTTTAGTATCTGTTTAAGTCTTAGCTTGCAGTGACATTATATAAAGATTCTGATGAATAATTCAGTCCTCATAAACCCAGCCAACAGCATTATTAATTGGTAAGGACATGTAATAGTGTAACTTCCCTGTGGCTTATCAATTAATACTTCACAGTTTATGGGAAGAGGCATTTTTTAATATGATCCATGGAAGAGGAATAGGAACAAGATAATTACACAAATGCATTTCACTGGAAGATGGGACTAACAAAACAAGAGGGAATCGAGTACCCATGCAGTTTTATATATTTAAACATGTATGGCCTAAGGGCCAAGTTATATCATGGATCATTTATTTATGTTTAATTACTGAAAGTGTTTACAGCTTGTTTTTACGAAGCTCTTCTAATGAGGGATCCAAGCTAAGGGATTTTAAGTTAAAGAAATTAAATCCCCATCTACTTATCTTTTAATTAGTTTTTTAGCTCTTATTTTTACTAAAATCCAAGCATTCATTTTGCATTCTGCCCTGAATACAATCTTTTGTTAACTCAAGATCAAAAATGCACAGCTAATTTGCTTTCAATTAATATTTTAAAAAATTAATTTCACATTTGTTTCTGAAATAATAAGCACAGGAATTACCATGATGATACCATATTGCCAAATAAATGAAAAAGCAGTGGTCTGGGACTGGGGTGTAGCTCCATGGTAGAGCACTTACTAGTATGTATGAGGTCCTGGGTTCAGTCCCCAGCACTAGAAGGAAGGGAGGGAGGAAAAAGAAAGAAAATAAAGAAAATGTGATATGAAGGAAATGTTACCTTAAACATCAAATGTAGAAAATTTAGAAGGAATGAGCAGTCTATTTTTATAAACATAGGAAAAATACAATTCCACCTTAAAGTGAAATTATAATCATGTAGGGAATAAGATAAATTTTATTTCTGTAGAATCAGAGTTTGCTAATCTGCTAGAAAAGATTAATCAGTTCTCAGAGGATAGTGTTGGATCCTCCTCAAAAAAGAGAAGTTTATCCTGGAATTTAAGGGTACTGATTTAAGAGTATGCATTGAGGGTCCTTGAGCTCAGTAGACGTGAGCTTGTGCTCACTGACAGCCATTGTAGTTCAGTGCCCTGGCTCAGATGGAAGTTCAGACATCGGCAATCTAGGAAAGAATATCAAGCCTCCAAGCAGACCCCAGAGGTTATTGCTTCTGACCAGGGCATCCAATCACATGACAGTAAATCCCTCCAATTTACACTCTTTGTTGGAACTGAAACAACACCCAGCCTCTTGTTTCACTGTATTATTTTCTGAGGCCTTGATTTGTGCTCATTGCTTGAGATTCCTCAGCTTTCTGAATCCTTGGATGACACTGAACTCAGCGCCATGCCTGAGACTCCCCTCCTTGCACTGACTTCCTGGCCTGGATTTTCTCTACAACCCTTCCTCACTCTATTAGAAAAAGGTGCTGTTTCATTCCTGTGGAGTGAACAGGTCACACACCTAGCCTAAGTAGGACATTGGCTTGAGCAGAACCCAGTAACTCAGGGAAGATTAAATAGTTCTCATGCCTAGGTCTTTAAAAAGTCTCTAACAGTGTATCATCATAATTTGTTGCATTTTAAAAGTAGGAGCTAATTGCTCCTTTGTGCTTGTAGGCTTCAAACGGTAGCTTTCCAACTCAACCTACTCTCAAAAGAAAAAATACATGTTAACCCAGCCCCAACTGCTCTACTCATTCTGTAACTTTTAAACACAGCTAAAAATTGAAACAAAGCATGGAATTGATTTCAGTAACTTCCATAAAGGGATAAGAACACACCAGATAACGTAAACATGCTAGACTTGGTCCATTATAAAGATTAAGGATAGAAGAAAATTAAGCATTGTAGTGCTCTTAACATTCAGTACCCTATTCTGATTTACCCTGGAGTCTTCTGGGTCTTGAACAGATTGGCAAGCCTGACTTAAGAGACACAAAATTTCAAGTTACCATCATGTTAGAGAATAACACTTCTTCTTTGTATTTGTCAAATTTAGGTTGTCTTTTCCTCCATTTTACTCTAAGAATGAAAGAAATTACCTCTTCTGGCCATCTCATTTTATATACAGCTAAACAGAGCCTTTTAGGTTAAAGAATGTAGCTAGGTTTTAGCCCATCTCTGACTCTTACTTAGATCAACATTCTTTCCATGAATGATCAGTGTGTTAGTCCAAAGTAATTCTCTTAGTCAAATATACTTCTTTTAAAGTTTTGAAAATGACTTAAGAAGTATGTGAGTACCTACCATCCTAAAGCAGGAAAGGAATATAGAATAAAATTCACTTCAGATTAAATATGTGCTGCCTGAGCCCTTCTCCTCTGCGGGGGGCATCATTGTACATCTTGTTGTCTGTTCATTTCCATAGGTAGAGAAACTTAGAGGGCATTTTAAATCTAGCTCTAGGAAACTGTTTTGTAGACTATGTTGGCATAAACCTAGCAGGCACAGGAGCTCCTGATACCCTTATTGCTCTCCATCAAAAGGAGTAGTAGTTAATGAGGTATT